ACAAATTGTTTGAGGCTTTAAAAGTATTATTGCCCATTCTTTTTCCATCCACGTTGAGGTAGAAGTTTAAAGGCTATAGAAGGCAAGCATCATTCCAACAAGTAACTCTCCAGCCTAAAGAAAGAAGGCTAACTTAATGACCAAAGAATAACCATACATAATTTCCCTAAGTGCAACAAATACCAGTTGGGCAATTATAGTGGTTTTTAGTGGCCATAAATAATTTGAGAATAAATAATTTGAGATCAGAAGTTTCAATGAAGGTCTAAATGAATTGTGAATGTGCATTAGTGAATTTGAGTACTTAATATGCTCAACTTGACATGTGTATGTGCCCACATGTGTGCTGATTATGATGAAAACAGAAAAAGGCATCATTTGATCCGGGCGTCAGTGAACTTTTTCTGTAAAAGCCAAACAGTAGATATTTCAGGCTCTGTGGGCCATAGCATCTTTGTGGCATCTGTTTGAATTTGCGGTTGTGGAACAAATGCAGCCATAGACAATACATAAATGAATAAGTATGGCTGTGTTCCAATAAAACTTTATTTATGGACAGTGAAATTTAAATTTCTTATCACTCTTTTGTTTTCTTGCTGTTTTGTTTTTTGAATCATTTAAAAATAAAGAAACATTCTTGGCTCACAGGATGTATCATAACAGTCCGAAAGCCAGATCTGGTCCATAGGTAATAGTTTGCCAACCCTTTGTTTAACCTATTCATAATTTTATTTCTGCAATATGATTAGCTTTCAATGTTCAAGATCACTTGATGGTATATCAGTGGTAAATTTCAGGACTACTGTTTCAACAACAACAAAAAAACAGTATCAATTTTTCTTATTATGCCAAGTGTTAAATCCGTGTTTTCAAAATCACTCCTTAAATATAAATTTCTAGGGGCCCAGGATAGAGCACTTGCCTAGCATGTGCCAGGCCCTGGATTCAATCCCCCAAATAGCAAAAGGAAAATAAACATTGCTAATTCATCAATAACGTATATTCTCTCACAGCTAAGCTTCTATGGTAAACCCCAAGTGGAATAATAAAGAATAAATTAATAACATTGAACAGTGTGTGTGTGTGTGTGTGTGTGTAAGGGAGATAACAAACACCTGGATGGTCCATAAGCAGAAGACAAGAACTTGCAGGTTATTCATTTAAAGCACAAGTGATTTTCACAGAAGCTGACATTCTCTGGTAAACCTCAGAGCAAGAAGGTGAAATACACTTATCAGAAAGAGAAAGACAGATAGACAGAAAGACAGACATACTGGCTTGAAATGATACAAAGCTTGAACTACATGCCTTCTTTCCCAAACCAAGAGTGACTAGACTTTTTCAGCTGCACACTAACAACCCCTGGGAAACACGAGTTAAACATTCCTAAAACAGGAATCTAGTTCTGTTATGAAACTCCATCATTTCACCTCCTGACAGACACAAAAATCAGCAGAATTCAGGAAAGGCTCAGAAGAGGAGTAAGTAGCATTTTTAATAAAATTCAAATCCAGAATGTTTTTTTTTCATTGCTAGCCTCCAGAGCTCACTATTATCAGCAATATTAATGTAATTACTCAGGTAAAAATAAAGGATATGGGAAACTCTGACCTCTTGTATTTCTTCTTTAACTTCTCCATTTCCCTGGGAAATATTTAATTCTGAATAATACAAAAATTAAAAAAATAGAAGTTTCATAGTATCTAAATAAAAAAACAAAGGAATCCATAAGTACATACTTTTATTCTTCCTCAAATATGCTTTTAACAATATTAACACTTTATTAGTCACTTCTATATACCACAATATAACCCATGCAGCTATCAGAAAATATAAAATAAAGCACCTCCAAAATGTACCTAGTTCTGTAAGAAATATCTTCATATTAATAGTTGGGACCCAGTCATTATCTCAGAGTGCTTAACGAAAAGAAGTCAGGAATTCAATTCAGGAACACATTGCTCAGTTAAATAATACCTGTATGAATTTGGGGTTTCAAATCACCTCTCTTAAGCAAAAGGGGCATAATCATATGTTTTTCTACTGAACTACATTCTTTTATAAACATTTGAAAGAGTGCATCTGCTTTACGAATGAAATAGTCAATACAAAGTGCAGTAACAATAAAAATATATGCCTAGTTTTATACTATTACTGGTTTATAAAGCAATCATCTGTAATGCTCTCATCTACAAAGATGGAAAATGATATATAACTGTTACCAGGGAAACGATGAAGAAGTTACACTGCATGTAAACTATAAGCAGTTTAATAACCAGAAAATTAGAAGAACAAGTAAAAAACACCTTCAGATAGAACCATGACACACTGTGCCACCCACATAGGATGTGATCAAGGGTCACAACTAACACAGATGGTGTAAAGGGCTGCAACCACTTGCCAGCTATTCTGATGCTTGGCAATAATTTTTTAAGTGATTATCAAAAGATGGCACTGGGTAATTGAGAGGTAATTTGAATTCTGACTTTTCACATGATTAAAGGGCCACAGATTCTGTGAACATGGTTGAATGTACTTTGGAAAGCCAAATGTGTAGTTTATTAATTCCTGTTTGGATTAATATTCTCTTGGAATGCTCTGTAATTACCACTGTCTTAACTCACAGATAGGACACTTGGCAAATATCAGTTACAGGAAATGCTTTTAGAATCAACCTTTAGAAACTCAAGTTCATAGGAACCAAAGACAAGGCTAACATCCAGGAAAACTATGCATGTTTGCCTCTAAACCAAGAGAATTTTAAGCACTCAAGTAACCACGTAGATCAAAGCTAAATCCTTTAGGAAGATTATCCATTCTGAAATCAGGAAAATCCTGCCATGTAAGCACTTTTATACTTCACCTTTGAGAAAACAACTTGATTTCTGTGAGTATTTTAAACACACATGCTGAAGACTTTCTTCCCTCAAGGGCAGAAACCAGCAGCTGCAAATGTTTTTCTGCAGGCCAATTGCCCTCCAAAGGTGTCTCTGTTTCAGCCTGGGGACCATCCTTAAGCTCACAATGAAGAAAAGGAAGAATTCCTGTGGATGGTAGATTTTTTTAACTGGTACAATGGCTCAGAACATATGCACCTTTTTCTTTCTCTAAACACTCCATTGGATCACAAGAAGGACAGAAAGTGAAATTCATTCTCATTTACTAAAATTTAAACACTCTTTTAAAATAAGATACTAATTCTACCCACCTACACAGCCTGGCTTGGGTTTTACAAATATTCAGGTTTGTGAATATCATCAAAGTATGCTAGAATTGATTAACATTAATATAAAACATCTTTCCCCTGACACACAGCACTGACCTCTCCAAAGCTCCTGTTAAAGGACTACACTGGAGGTCTAGATGTTTTGTTAATCTTGTTGGTTTTAGCACTCCAGGCCACTAACACTTAAACTATACTCTTAGTGGAACTTCTCTCTTCCTTTAGTGATATTTCTGTCCATCACACAGAGGGCACCACACAATCTCTAAACTTGCCCACGGCTATTTGCTTACTATGGTTCATCATTTGACAGCTGTTTATAATCCAGCCATAGGCAGAAGCACACAAGAAGTTAATAGAACAGTGGTGTGAAGCCATGGCCCTCTACCATATCAACGTAAAACCAAACAATTTGCTACACTACAATCATCCACTGCTTAACACATCAATCTTCTGATCTGCAGAGACCTCTCGTGGGCGGCTCTAAGGAGCACATATTTACTTACCCATCACCAGTCTACCCAAAGGAAGTTACATCGGCCCCCTTTCCCTGGAGAAATCTGTTTAACCTGAAGATTGACCCATGTGAATACAGAGGGCAGGTGAAAATGATTAGGAAGAACAAAGACCTGTGGATGTTGGAGAGAGGCCCATCTGAATGGCAATATCCAAACTGAAAGGTTCTGAGATGGCCCAGATGGAATTTAGCAAAGCAAAGTCAACATACTCTTCTGCCTCAGGCTTTTGGAGGCTGTTCATCCCTGCCTGATGCAATCAACACATCTCACTCTGATACTAAAGAGTGAAAGAAAACCTAGAATTAGTCTCTCGGTATTGCAAGCAAGTCTTTCAACTGCAGCCTGTAAAAACACAACTGTCTACCTCCTTGTTCCTACCTCCCCAGAGGTCCAGGGGCAGAGGGCCAGCCCTTGCAGAGACTTGGACAGAGAAGATTAGGAACGGTTTTCTAAGACCTCACATATCTGGCTCTTCCCAGTTAATGCTACCAGCATAAGACCTTACTTCATTTGTTCAATGCAGACTTTGGAAGCACATTAGGGCAAGAGCAGAAGGACTAGGTAACATCTAGAGGCCCCAAAGTGGAAATGTTCCTCTTCTATCAGCACTGCTGGAGAAATCTGCCCCACTAGATTGTTTTTCTTCAGTTTCAACAACATGGCTACTTGGAGGCAAATTTCTAAATATTTCAAGGCTTAAGAATATATAGTTTCTCAAAGAAAGGCTGAAAGTCTTTCTCTTCTATCTCCATGGCTTTGCCATCTGGGTCCCTGGTGGGAACACCTGGGTCGACCTACAAACTGACTTTTCCAGGGTGTGGAGGTCTAATTCAGGGGTGGGAGGAAGGGGGGGGGCACTTTTAGTCACTGCTGTTCGGAAGGCACTCACACACACTTCAAGTACTCCTGTCTTTCCCTAGCAGTAGCAATTACAACCATCTTCTCTTGGCCCTGAATTATACATGTGACCCCAAGCACCACTGGGGCTTTCCCTAAGGGAAGACAAACTGCCCTGAACATTGGGGGCTGGGAGGGAGCATGTGTGTCTCTCTGTGTGCTCTACAGCCGGACACACAAACCCCACCAATCAGTTAGAAACAAGTTGAACACGGCAGCCCCTGGCCACCTGGTTTCAGCTTTATCTTAAACCCTGCTGCTCTGTCCAGCTTTTCTTCTCCCAAGCCTCCCGAAAAATAAAGCACCAAGTTGCCCTAGGCGGCAGCGGCCCTAGGTGCAAAGAAAACCGGCGCGGCCCCTACCTCGAGAGCTTTGCAATCTTCACAAAGCTGAAGACATCCATGCAGGCAGCGGGAGATCCCAGAGCCGGGCGACTTTGTTGCCCCTTCTCACGCCAGCAACGGCAGCCTCAGCAGCCCCATCGCGGGGACCTCAGCGCGCCTGGGGCTCTGGTGGCAGCGGCGGCGGTGGTGGCGGCGGCCGGGCAGAGCCTGCACCTGGAGGCGGCGGCTGCTACCCCCCTCCGGCCGTGAGCTGCGAGTGCATCCCAGAGCAGGACCATTGATGGGCGCTGGCGCTGGGAAAACTCAATGGAGAGGGAGCCAGGCTGGGCGCGAGCGGCGGGGAGGGGGCGGGGAGAGCGGCCCGGGTCTTGCGCCCCGCCCCGTGCGCTCCGCCCGGGGACGACCGGATGCCCTGCGAAGGCAAGGCCAGGCGAGGGGCACTGCTCCTGCTCCCTGGCCCTTGGGACCCTGTGCCCCAAACGCCGAAGAGCACAGACTGAGCCTGGAGGCGGCGGGCAAGCTTGGCACACGCGCACGCACCCCTCACGGCACTGCAGCTGCCTCCCAGCCTCCTTCCCCTAGCCGAGTCCCTTCTCCTCTCCCCACCCCCATCCGCCTGGGGGGGAGGGGGCACTCTTCTGTCACCCGCTGCTTGTGCCTCCAGATCTGAAAGATCTAGTCGAACAGTCAATGGCACCAGGGAGAACCATGAACGCTACCCTGTCTCCCCAAACCCAAGGGGAGCCCTGCAACCGCAGGCTGCCCAAAGCCTTGGTTTGTTCAGTAAATAAAACTAGCGTTAGGGAAGGAGTAGGGTTGACTGAGACTGGATAATTTGTCAAGGGGAAGGCAAAGGAGATGCACAGCGCAGCGGGCTCAATTTGGAGAGCGCAGAGTTTCCACTGCTTCCCCACCGACTGCTGGGGCAAGATGTGACAACTGGGTTGGCCAGGAAGGTGTGTTCTTTGGACAGCGGCACCACAGCGGCAACAGCAGGAGGCACGGGGGGCGGGTGGGCGCGGTAAACACAACACAGCTGCTCTTTACTAGAGGCGGATTGCGCTGAGGGTCCCAGGCGCTGTGGTGCAGAGGCTAATTTGATTGGGGCTCAGAAGCTAAAGGAAGAGAAGGGATAAGAATGAGGGGTCTGGCCGGCAGAGCGAGTTGCTTTTTTTTTTTAAATTGAGCGGTGGGTGAAGACTGGAAACGGGGAAAAAACAAAAACAAAAAACCTTGCCCGAGAAACAAAATCACAGAAACACAAACACTCACCTTAGGCAGAGTAAACTCCAAGTTGCAGCCATTTAGAACTCCTCGCCTTCTCTTTTACATAATTGTCTTGGACAATCACGCCCGTTCATTAACTCATTCAATCTCCCGGGAGGCTTGGGCTTCCTGGGGCCCCTTTCTCTTCTTTTTTCTCTTGGAGCCTCAAGGCCTCTTCTCCAAAAGCCTTTAAAATTTCTCCCCAGACTCTCTGAAGGTCAGCTGGCCGCACAAAGTGCTCCCACCCAGCAGCGTTTAGTTGGTGGCAGGGCCACCGCAAAGAAAATATACCACCCGCGAAATGTTGGAGGATCTAGCCAGTGCGTCTAGCTCTCTGAGGGGATTAAGGAAAAGGAAATAGATTTAAACTTCCCAGACTTCTGCTCCTATACTGGTCTGCTGTTATATTTAAAGTCTTCAATATTCAAGCCTAGTACTTCCACGTTTTTTAAGGCATTTCTTTTATAATTAAACATGAAATCAGTAGCAATCTGCACAATCTAAATTATTTCAAACTCGGGCATAAAATCACATTTTTGAATAAACAGAATCAATTTTCCTTTAGCTTCCTGCACGCAGACCAGTTTAATGAACGCAGTTACTTTTCATGGATCAGAGGAAGGCAAGAGAGACCTTGGCTTTTGAACCCCCTATTGTTTGTGTAAAATAATTATGATTTGGGTCTTCACTGTGCTTTATAATTTTAAAAGCACTTTTGCATTTGAGTCTCATAGCAACCCTGTCACATAAGTAAGGCAATGTGTTTAAAAAAGAGAAATCTTTTCTTTTTATGCCATAATCCATTCTTAATGTACCAAAGAGATGTTTTTTAAAACTTGGGTCAGATAAGGTTACTTGTCTGATCCAAACTCTGCAAAAGCTCTCCATTCTTCTTTGAGATGAAGTTGCACTCCTACAACAACCAACAAGGCTCCATCTCTGACTTCTGCCTCTCACTCTTCTCCTCCTGCCCCCTCCCCACACTGGGCTCCAGCAACACAGACCTCCTTTCTCTTCTTCAAACTCTGTAGATATCATCCAACCTAAGACTCTTTGCTATGGTTGTCCCCTCAACCTGGGATACTCTTCCCTCAGATATTTGCATGGACAGTTCTTTACCCTATGAAGTCTTTGCACAAATATCATTTCTAAAATATCAAGTTTGGAAAAACCTATTTAAAAGAGCAAGGTCCTCACATCCTGGACTACAAGTCCCCACTAACTGGTTATTTTGGGATTTTGCTTTCTTGTTTCCATAGTACTTATCACCCACCAGCACAATAGATCATGTATTTTTTTTTTCAAGTCCAAGCAGGGCTTGAAATTGAAACTTTATTTGGTAGTCCAAAATCCATTATGGCTTCTTATCTGAATCTTCCACTGGAATGAAAGCTCTATAAGGAAAGGGATCTTTGTTTTTGTTGTTGTTATTGCTTTTCTTTTCTTTCTTTTTTTGCTTTGTTGTTTTTACTGATGGATCCCAAATGCCTAGAACAGTTACCTGGAGGTAGAAGGCCCTTAATAAATATTTGTTGAGTGAATCATTCAATTGACAGCCAAATAAAAGCTGGTCAAGCATTCCCTGTGAGTTCTGAAGCCTCTATGTCCTCATGGATGTTTGTCCTTTCCCACTGCTCTCTTTTTCCTGCATCCTTTGTCCTCTTTTGGGTTGTTAATGATGGAAGTAAGGCCCTCTCATTTTTTTTCAGTTGTTTATTTTTTTCTCTTCACCCTTACTACCCCTTCTCAATAGAGAGGTCACCAACACCTTCCTTTATCTCTGAGGCAACAACATCTGGCATCACAAGACCAGCTCTTGATTGGGAGAAAAGGACTACAGTGATGGCTTTGGAGAATGTATTTTGAAAAAGTGCTTCTTTTTGATAGCATGACAACTTAGATACCTTTTTTTTAAAAAAGAATACCCTATTAATCAAGAATTATTAGGGGATAAGGGTATATAGCTCAGTGCTAAAGCACATGATTAGCATGCATGAAATGCTAAGTTCATTCCCTAAGCACCAAAAAAATTTATAAAAGGAATTATTCTAGGTACCAATTGCTTCTTATTCAAAACAGTAAAAGTGACAGGAAATAGGCATTGTATTTACTTATAGACAGCCTCCCTTCAAGACATCTGTTCTACCTGGAACAGCTTGCTACTCAGCTTCTTCCTGTGCCAATTTCTACACTACAATTATGAATGGTGCAGATGCTGATGCTTCACAACAAAATAGGCACCAGGGGAATGACTGGCTTCTCCAGGTCTTTATGCTCCTCTGATACACTAATTATCTAGTGTGCTTTTTAATGGATTGATAGCATTTTCTAAAGCAAAGAGATTCTCCTCCTCCTCCTCCTTTGTTTCTCATTAATGTAAAAATGGAAGAATCTGCTCCCCTGAAACATGCTAACACCGCCAGTTTATACCTTTGAGCATCCTGGCAGACAGGCAGATATTTGAGTACCTGTTCTCTCAGCCCTGTCCTCTCTGTCTGTGCCAGGTGTGTGTGTGGCAGAGCATGGGAGAGGCTTCTTTTTCTAGCAAGAAATGAATCAGCCTAAAATAAACAAAAGCCAAGGAGTGGGATCTTGGGAATCTCTGTGATTTTCTGAAGTTTTAGCTCCAGCCTGGATAATTTCTAAGGCCCCTTCTAGATCTTACAGAGACTTGCCCATCACAAACCATATTTCCTAGTCTTGAAAATCTATTTAATTTGCTTTTCATAGATTTAAGTGACATTTGGTCATTTCTGAAAAGCAGGCAAATTTTCAAACATTTTTGAATGTGCTCATGAATAAGTGACTTAGGGTCATCAGATCTGAAGAAAGACTGCAACTTCTCTAAGATCCAGTTTTCCCACCTGTAAAATAGAAATAGTAATACATACCTACTTTACCTAGACTGAACACTTGGAATTGGATTATATTTGAATTAGGCACATGGAGGCTAAGTCTAGGGTTTTCACAACTATCTTAACCCTTGACATTACTGTTAGGAGAAATTTCAGCCTTTAAGATGACCACTTTGAGCCAAACATGGTGGCACACACCTGTAATCACAGCTATACAGGATGCTACAACAGGAGGATGACAAATTTGAGGCCAGCCTTGGCAATTTATCAAGACTCTGTCTCAAAATAAATTTTAAAAAGTGACTGAAAGTGTAGTTCAGTGGTGGAGCACTTGCCTAGCATGCACAAGTCACTGGGTTCACTTCTCAAGAGAGGGGGTGCAGACATCACTACTTTGAAAGTTAAAACATCTGCTTGGATTTATCAAAGGTGAGCCCTATTGCTTAAGAATCAAACTGTTTCCTAATTGGTCAACAAAACCCTAAGATGAGGTATCTTTTATGTTCTGGGGATTTGTCAGAGGAAAGAGGAAGGATTTCTACATCACTGTTAAGGCCTTATCTAAATCTGGTGTTGGGAATCTGCTATTGGGCTGGATGTTCCATACAGGAGAGCCAATGAGGTTCTTTTGCTGCAAATTGTAATAGAGAGAGCCCCATGCATTTCTCCACCATCTGGCCTCAGTCCTGACAACAATAGCAACTCAAAGCAAGGTGGCCATTCATTCAATAAATATTTACAGCAGTTCACCTATATACCATGGACTGTTTGTTCTAAGCACTGCAAGATAGACCAGGCAACAGGTAAGATGCTGCTCACATAGAACTTATATTGTAATAGGGAAGGTAGATAAGAAACAACAAAACAAAACATTGTTTAAATTAAAAAAATAGCAGATAAAGTTGTGCAGAGAATTTGTCACTTTGATTAAAAGTGAGTGACCATGTAGCCACTAAAGATCAAGTGGTTGAGAAAGACTACACTAAGGAGGCAACATTTAATGTGTGATAGGGTGGACAGGAAGGAGGCTGTCACTCAACATTCATATGCAACAGCAAAGACAGACAAGGATAGAGTCTCTGCTATTGTCTGTTTGACAAATCGGAAGGCAGCCAGTTTAAATGGGCATTGTGTTCATAGAAATGAGACTGGAGGACTTTGTAGTGGTGAGATTGGATGGGGCTCAGCAGGTCAAGTTAAACTGTTCAACTGTTACCGTGGAATGAGAAGACTTAGGAGGTATTTTAGCACCAATGTGGTAATGTCCAATTTATATCTTGAATGACCACTCTTGAGGGAAATGAGCATGGGGCACAGAAATGACTTTGGAGCCTATTATAATAGTAGTGGTAGTGGCTCAGAGAGGATCATGACAAGGAAGTGGCAAACAGTGGTGAGGTTTGGGGTATGTGTTGAACAAGGTTTGTTGATGAATTGGTTGTGGGAGGCAGAGAGAAAAAATAATAAAGAAAAAGTTATTATTTTATGTTATTTTTAAAATACTCTGGTTTAAAGATAGTAAACAAAAATGGGAAGAGTTTTACCTATTTCTGTGCTCATATGTTCTGCCTTCTCCCATTTGTCCATGAACTCTTGTGCTGAGAGGGCTGACCCTCCTGATACGTGATTATCACCTCTCTTGCCT